AAGGGAAGGTGTCACCTGAACTGGGGGGCCCCGGAGATGCTTCAGCAGGCAGGGACATCCATGGGCTGCATCCAGAGGACCTACAGGACCCCTGGAGTTGAAGAGGGACCAGGACACTGTGGGAACAACTAGCTGAACCTCCTCAGCGCATGCATCCATCTGAGGTGACAGGAGGCATCTCCCAGCAGATCAGGCTTAGGCACATCACACACCCTGCACATTCTGTCTAAGGCTGAGAGGAAGCCTTTCTGACCCTGGGACTCCTCATCCACCCTATTTTAATTCCCAGCTTTGGAACTGATTCTTAGTGGCACGCCAAAAGCCAGAAAGGGGAGGATTTGGTGACACACACGTGTTACAATATCATAACCTCAGATGAAATCTCTTAGTAACAAGCTCACGGATCCGTGAGACCCAGGAGGGCTCCACCAGGAGGAGCTGGAGACATGCGTTGAGGACTGGTGGGAATCGGGGCTGACTTTGGGACTCCCAAAAGACAGGACAGGGACCCCAGAGAGGGGACGAGTGGGGAATAAAGACAGACTTTCTTGGACTTGAGGAGATTCAGTTCACAATGAGACGTTCAAAGAAATTTGCAGCAACCCGGTAGAGAGATGGAATCACCTCCACAGACTGCCCTTTCAACATGGGTCCCCAGAATAAGGGCAGACACACGGGATCACCTCTACAGAAGCAGTGAACAGAGCCAAATTCCCAAGGGTATGAGCAAGCGGCTCTCAAAAGAGGGTCAAGCCTGGTCCATGCACAACAAATTTTTCACAGTCATCTGCAGATCCCTTCTTTCCTTCTCCACCCACAGTCTCACTTGATCAGCCTTAAAAATATATGTTAGAAGACAGGCAGATTCAGGGTCCATAACCCATTAAAGTTATATTCCACAATGAAGTGGAATTTTTGATGAAGACAGGTTTCAGAGTGAGGGACCTGGAAAGAATGCGAAATATTTCCTAGTAGATAGAGAAGTCACCTAAGTTGCTCATCCATATTGAGAAAATAAAATGTCTGGGAGTTGGCGGGTGGAGGGGAAGTTCCAAGGGGAGCGGTTTGTCCGACGCTCACCTGGGCGAGTGGGCACTGACTTCCCACTCTCCCAACTGAGCAACCAAGCAGCGGCTGGGCTAGGAGAGTCCTGAGCCAAGGAGGGGCTGAGTCAAGGAGGGGGCGTCCAGAGGGGTCTGCACACCTCAGCTGGGAGGACCAGGGGAGTCCTGGGCATGGAGACAGTGGATGGCCAGCGTGACAAAGAACACCAGCACCACTGTGATGGTAGGATGACCCCACCTGAAATGTCCACATTGTAGCCCCAAATCTGTGGCTATGTGGCCTTATGGGCAGAGGGAACTTAGCAGGTGTGACTAAGATCTTGAGGTGGAGAGATTAGCTGGGGGCCCCATAATCACAGGGTTCCTCTAAGGGGGAGATGGCAAGTCAGAAAAGAAGACGTGACAGGGGACCCAGAGGCTGGAACGTGAGAGAGAATGGAAGGGTCCGAAGCCCAGCAAAGTGGGCAGGCAACCTCCAAGAGCTGGGACTGGCAGGAAGGCTCCCTCTGGAGCATGGCCGTCAGCAGCTACATGTTAGGGCTGCTGCCCTCCAGGGCTGTGAGCCTATACATTGGTGTTGTTCTCAGTCACTGTTGGTGGTGACTTGTCACAGTAGGCATGGGATAGGAACATGGATGCCAGGTAGGCTGTGAGGGATGAGGGGAGGCCACCAGCAGGGGAGGCTGGGGAGAGCCAGGAGAGACCAAAGAGCAGCTTCAAAATTCTGCCCTGGCGGGAAGTACCAGAGCAGAGCAGTATACAGGCGGCACACAGGGGACATACTGGGGACATGTGGGGGTCCACAGGAGGAAGAAAAGCAGTCTTCCTCCCCAAATGCCAACCTCCAAGAGGGAGATGTGCAGCCTTAAAGTGATGACCATCTGGAGAGACTGGAGTTTTAAAACTTGGATAGAGACTGTGTATTGTCTGGGAATCACTCACAAGGTCACAGGGGACAAAGAGCATGGCTGAGTTCACCCAAAGAGACAGTGGGATGTGAACGCCAAGACGTGCCATGGCTACACCCATGAGTGGAGCCTGTCCCCAGTAAAGACACATCCTCGTCTTTCCAGGAAGTTTCTGGAAGTCTTCTCCAAGGGGCTCCTTGCATCCCCCCAGTTAAAGACAGAGAACACACGAAGAGGCAGGTGTGGGCATGGTGTGCCCAAATCCAACCAGCAAGGGAGTGGGAGGGGCAGCCAGCAGGGAAATCAGAGGGTGGATATTCAAGACCAACAGGGCTGGGAGGATGCGGCATTCTGCACACCAGCCTGCTCATGTGGGGTCAGGAGGGTGCGTGGGAGACAGGAGGACAGTGGCAGATGCGCCGGGACCAACCAGGGACACACTGCCCGTGTGCTTGTGGGGCGGTCCCTGGCCAGGCTTCCTTGGCACTGCCCCTTGCCCTATAACTTGGGCCAGAGGGGCTGGCAAGGGATGCTTGAGTTTCAGGGTGTAAGCACAGGGCTGCCTGCCAGGGCAGAGATGAGCACTGGCAGGTGGGCACAGCAGTACAGGCACCCAGGAGGGGACACTTGCTCAGTGTCCCACAAGCGTGGTAGAGAGGGTCGCCCTGAAGGTGCTTAGACCTACTTCAAGCCACCCCGTGAGAGAGTTGTGATCAGTACACCTAGGTCGTGAATGCCCTGAACCAGACGATAGAAACAGAGTTTCACACACACGGTTCAGACCGTTTCATAACAATCCCACCACGTAGCAAGCTCTTACTGGGTGTTTGTTCCCTTTCTATCAGCAGTGGTGTAGGCGTGAGAATTAGGGACCAAAAACAGTGGCTTAAACACACAAGTCCATTTTCTTCTATAAAAGAAGTTAGAATGGTTGAGGGCTGGCATTGTGACTCCACAAAGGACATAGACACAGGGCTCCAGGCTTCGTCGCTCCCTCTCATCCTCAGAGGTGGCTTCTGCCCTTCAGATCCCTTCAGGCCCCAACACAGCTGCTGAGCTCCAGCCATCATGTGCTTATTCCCAGCAGCAGACAAGATAAAAGCAATGCTGCCCAGCCGAGTCTGCCCTTTACAGGTGAATTTCCATGTGACTCAAACAACAGTTTTGCTTCTATCCTGGTCACATGGCCACACCCAGCTGCACAGAAGACTGGGAAACACAGCCTTTGTTGCAGATAATGCCACGCGCCAAAACAAAATGCAGTACTACCACTGAGGAAGAAGACAGATGGCCTCTGCCATGGGCTGATATTCACAAAACCACCCACCGAGAAGAGCCTGGACATTCACATGCAGCTGCCCAAGGGTGCCCCGGAGGAGCAGCTGGGAAACACTGCACCAGGGCCAGCAGTGGCCGGCTTATCGCTGTGCCTCTTGGCCACTGGGCCCCAGACAAACCAAGGCAGCCCCAGGGCACAGCCAGGAGGCCAAGGCAGCCCTTGCATAGTGTTGCCTGCTGCAGTGACACTAGGGGCCCCATCAGCCTCCACCTGCTTCCAAGGAGTGACCCCTGAAGCCAGTGAGGCCCACCCCTGGGTCCTGCTCCCTTCTCCACCAACTCCTGCAGGGAAGGACCCAACTCTCTTTGACATCATTTTAGGAGAGAACCTTCTGCCTACCTTCCCAATCAAGAGGGACTTCTAACGAGGCAGCAGCAGTATGTGGCCCCAGGAAGGAAGACCTTTGGAATCATCAGACTCTGCTCTCTCTCGTTTTTAAAGAACAAAAGAACGTAGTCCCAGCTGCTTGGGAGACTGAGACAAGACGATCACTTGAGCCCAGGAGTTTGAGACCGCAGTGAGCAGTGATCGCGCTATGGCGTTCTAGCCTGTCTCTAAAAAAATTTAAAATAACAGACCAGGTATGGTGGCTCACACCTATAATCCCAGTACTTTGAGAGGTTAAGGCAGAGGATGGTTAGAGGTCAGAGTTCAAGGGTGATGTGAGCTGTGATCATGCCACTGCATCCAGCCTTGGTAGCAGAGGGCACCCTGTCACAGGGAGGGAGGAAGGGGAAGAAGAAAGGGAAAAAAACCCTGCCCCCTGAAGGTGGAGTGAGGTAATTGTGTGTGTGTGTATGTGTGTGTGTGTGTGTGTGTGTGTGTGTCTCGGTGTGAGTGTTGACATGAGAAAAAAGGGAAAAAAACCCTGCCCCTTGAAGATGGAGTGAGGTAATTGTGTGTGTGTGTGTGTGTGTGTGTGTGTGTGTGTGTGTGTGTGTGTGTGTGTCTCGGTGTGAGTGTTGACATGTGGGATTGTGTGTGTCCATGTGGAAGACTGGTGGTGTGTGCCTGTAGTCCCAGCTACTCAGGAGTCTGAGGGAGAAGGATCTCCTGAGCCCAGGAGGTCAAGGCTGCAGTGAGCTATGATCGCACCACTGCACTCCAGCCTGGGCAACAGAGTAAGACCCTGTCTCTAAAAAACAAGAAACATAAATGAGTGCCTACAGTGGGTATCCTTTGATGACCCCTCCTCCAGGGGTCTCTGCCCAGTCTCCACACTCCTCAGCTGACTCACCCTTCACCCTGCAGACACCCCGGGGTTCATCCCGTGTGTAAGGCTGTCATCGGTCCCACGTGCCCCACCGCCCCGGGCCAAGTCTGATCACTAGAGCGTCTGCCAATATGTTCTCAGAGGGGCACTCTGTGAACAGAACCCTGCCTGGCTTCCGCCAAGAGTGTACTGGGCCCACCGGAGGCTGTGTTGCCGAGAAACCACCCCCCAAAAAGAAGAAAAGTGTGTGTGAGATGTGAACTTATGCAAAACAAAACAGAGCGTGGGAGTGAGCTTGCCAGCCCCTGCCAAGTCCCCCGCTGTCTCCTCAGTCACCGCAGACACAGAGGAGGAGGACAAGAGGCTGGGTGTCCATGTCAGGCTGTCCTTAAATCCAGCCAGGTGGGCAGAGGCAGTGCGACCCGCCTGTCTGCGGGGCCCAGGAGGGGCTCTCGCTGTTCCTCCCCAGCCAAGGGATGATGGCCAGATCCAGGCAGGCCCCATGGCTCCTGCTGTCTGTTCTGGTGGCCCTGGCAGCCCTCACCTGCCAAGCAGGGAAGAAAACTTTTATAAGAGTCCAAGAAGAGTCTGGAGTTCAAGGAAATGCGAAAGATGTCTTGCAGTTTTTCATCGATGAGTTCAATAGGCAAAATGAGGACAAGTACAAATTCAGGATCCTGCGTGTCCTGAATGTGAAGAGGCAGGTCAGTGGGTGACTCCCCCCAACCCCCACCAGGGCCCCGGTCAGGGACACAGGTACCAGGAAAAGTCCTAAGTGAGTGACTTCAGCCTCCTTCAGCCGGACAGGAGCATTTCCAGAGAAAAGTAAATTCACTAGGGTGGATGAGGTTAGGTCACTTAAATGAAACCAAGACCAGGGCCTCAACTGATGCCATCCCTAGGGACAACCCTACCTGCTGCCTACCTTTGGAAGCTATGTTAGTGTAGCCAGCTGTGCCCCGTGTGTGAATGCTGCCTGTGGCCGCTTTATGCTACATCGGCCAGATTGAGCCATTGCCACAGAGACCACGTGGACCACACATCCTAAAATGTTCATTCTCTGGTCCTTTACAGAGAAGGCCGACAGACCCCACCAGAATCAGCAGCAGCATTTGGGCGACCCAAGGGGAGGCTTTGCCCACAGAGAAAGGTCGTGTTTCTGGTGATTCTGGTGAATTCTCTTTGAATGACAAAAGAAAAGCAGAGTCAGATGGAAAAGGGAGTGAGGAGCCCCCAATCCGCCCAGGATAAGCTCCTGGCCCCGGGCATGGTGGGAAGGAGCTCCCCTGCATGGTGGAAAGGCACTGCAGGTGGGAGAGGTCATGCGGTGCCTCCCCCCATCCCCTCACCCCCGGCCCACAGGTGACAGATCACATGGAGTACCATATCTGTGTGCACATGCAGCGGACTACCTGCCTGAAGTCAGAGACCACACTCTGCGGCCCCCAGGAAGGGGCACTGCACAAGGTACTAGGGAAAGCATTTGGATGGGGGCAGAATGCATTTTCCAATGGGGATTTTCTGGGGTTGTAGGTGAGATGGGGTAGCATTGTTTAGAACTTACTCAAGCATGCTTGCAAAGGGCATATGGATGATCTCTCCTTCCTCCGAGAGGAGGAGGAGGATGAGGAGGAGATGGCCCAGGAGCTGCCCTTATGCTAAGTGAAAGGTCTTGAGGAGGCTGAACGGGTCCAGTGGGACGAGTTGAGGGCCCAGCTGCAGAAGACATCCTGGGCAAGGGAGGCCACCAGTTCTTCATATTGTAGCAGCCAGGGGAGCCTGGCTGGTGCCCAGCTGAGTGTCTGAGCATCGCATGAAAAGGACTCGCCACCACCGGGCTCTTTCCTCTTTCCTCTCACCAGCAGTGACAGGCAAGGAGGAGGAGGAGATGAAGACACAAGTTCAGCGAGGATTCCACTGGTGATGAGGGCGAGGGTAGGTTGGGGGAACACACCTGTGTGAGTGTGATCTGCCCAGCAGCCAAGCCCCCAAGGTAGTTCAGATTCTGATGTGCCCCCTTCCCCTGGGTCACACCATGGCAGTGGACATAGTCAGGGTGGGTCCATCTGCAGAGGAGTCTTGAAGGGTCACAGCCCCATAAATCTCTAACTTTAGCCTAACCAATTAAAATTAGAATGACAGGATGGTCCACCCCGACTGGAAGAGTCCTGACCATGCTCAGTTTCTGAGTATCATCATGATAAATCTCCCCTGCTGCTTATAACGTGTCCTGGTTTAGTTCATAAATTCAGTGGTCACACTGGGCACGATGGCCTGGGTGTTCTCGGCACAGAAACGTGTCCATTCATGGGCTCTCTCCTCAGCTCCTGCATGGACAATACTCCAAAATCTACCAAGGTAGACTCCTTTATTTTTTTCCTGGAGAAGATGATGAACTCTACAAAAAGAATAACTCAGGATAATGCTAAAGAAAAGAAAAGAGAACTTTTGGTGGAGTTGGTATCCTGATTTCTATTTTAAGAGAAATGTAGATGCTGAAGCCTCCTATGTCCCCGTACCGGGCTTTCAAATGAAGAGTAAGAAGCAAAGTCACACTAAGAAATTATCATCAATAACATGTAGAAACTGTGTAAAGTAATGATCTTGTATTGAGGGAGAAGAATGAAGTAACAAAAGAAAAGGGAAATTTGGGAGTGAATAGAGTGAAAGGAAGGAGAGGGATGATGCAATGAAGCCGCGAATGAATGGGCAATTGCAGCAAAGATTGATGGACTGAATGAAAGGATGGAAGGAAGGGATGGGTGGGTGGAAGGATGGATGAGTAGATGGAAGAATGGAAGATAGGATACATTGATGGATAAATAAAAATTGATGGGTGGATTGATGGATGGACAGATGGAAAATAGATGAACAGATAAGTGGATGGATGAGCAGATGGAGGGAAGGAAGGATGGGTGAATGAAAGGATGAATGGATGGATGGATGGATCAACGGATGGATGAATGGATGATGGATGAATGGATGGATGGATCGATGAACCCAATAAAGGTCAAGTAAAGAAGGAGTGAAGTAAAAATAAAACATGAGTAAAAATAAAGATGGAGAAGAAGAATTGGTAGTTTCCATGGTGAATATAGGCTATGCAGACACTTTATTTCAGAAAACCAGGTTTGATATCGATTTTTGTTTCAGCCACTTCATAGTAATGTTGCTGGGATCGTTCCAGAAAATATACTTCTGTCTGTGGTCAGAACTAGACCGGGGGAATGGTGGGATGGAGTCATGTTCCCCACTGCCATGTCTCACATCCTTTTTTTCTCCCGTCTAGATTTTACCTAGCATTTTTAAAATGTTGTTTTTGTTTTTTTGTTTTAGCAAATCGAGTGCTGCTTCTCCATGTTTACTATACCCTGGTTTGAAAAGTACAGAATTCTGAAACAAAACTGCAGCAGCAGCTAGGAGTCCTGGAGCACATACCTGGCCCACTCACTCTGAGAATGTCTTGCGAGCGGTAGCCGTCCTCAATGTACACAATAAATGTCTGTCAACCTCTTCTCTTAAGATCGTGATTCTCCCCTTTTTTCCTTTTTTCTAAATTCTTCAGCTCATAGTAATATCATCTGAAGGACTGCTGGGCCAGGGCAGTGTTGGGGATTAAATGAGGGGACCTGAACTCCTGGCCTGAGAGCTTAAACCTACAGGACGGCAGACCCTTGCCCCCTCCTCCCATCAGGAAGGGTTCTCCACAGCTTAAAATAAGGTGGAGAAGGTAAGAAGCAGGAGAGAGAAGAAGCTCAAAGCAACTGAACAGCCCAGGGATCCTGGCAGATGACACCTGGGATGGCACCTCTGAGGGGCCTAGCGAAGAGCACCCCTCTGTGCCTAAACTGTGAGATGAGGAGAAATGGCACAAAGGACTAAGACACTCAGGCCCTTGTTGCTGAGAAGCACCAGGTTGGGAGATGGGCCATGTTTTTGCAGACAAGTGCCCTTTCCAATTCCAGACTCCAGAGCTAGACTTCTACCCCCTCGCACTGGCAACCTTGGACCTCAGTTGGTCTGTCCACGAGCCAAGTCCTCTCCTGGAGGAACAAAGGAAAATACGAGGGGTACCCAAAACACAGAATATATACGTAAAAAACTATGTCTTTATTCTTACATATTTATACTTCAGTGTCTTTTAAAGTCCTCCCCGTTGGATGCAATACACCTGTCGAGACGAAACAGTTTTTGAGCTCGTCCATTGTGATACCCTTTAGTGCTTCTGCTATTTTTGTTTCACCTCTTCCACATCTGCAAAACGTTTTCCCTTTAAGGACTTTCTCAATGGGGAAACAAAAACAAGTAGCCCGGAGCAAGATCTGGTGAATAGGGAGGGTGGGGCATGGGTCATGCCGTATTTTGGTCAAAAACTGCTGAACACAGTGTGGTGTGGGCAGGTGCACTCGTAAATCACCCATCATGAAGTGGTCAAACGCGTTGAAGGAATCTCAAAAAAACATTCACTGAAGCTGAACACAGCCTCTCACAGCACTAGCTGGTCCACGGATGCCAATGGGATCCTAGAACACACATTTAGCAGGGGAAGCCTGTACTACAAGGGACTACGCTCCAAAAAACAATTCTGGGTGTTTTGGGGTCCTCCCTTGTATGTACCCCCTGTGGGTGGAAGGATCGACTTGATGCTTCTCAAGTAGACCAATCAGATTAGTTCCCACAGGAGAGGAATGATGGGGTCAGGGAGAAGCCAGGGGTGCTGTGTTCAAGGGGCACCCTTTCCACGGAGGGCACATCAGCAGTGGAACGATATCACCAGGCTCATTCCACTCTGCATCCTCCCCCATGTGATCTCAGCTTGTGGGTCATGTGTGTCCTCATTTGAATATGGTAAGGGAGGGAGGGAGATCTCCTCCCCAAGACCTTGGACAAACATCCTGGGGTTTAGTACCCCTGGCAAACTCTGGGGACATCGTATAAAACACACACACATTCACCTGAGGAGACCTGGGGAATTATTCAATAGGTCCAGTCAGGATGGGCTTCTGGGGGCATTGATTCCCTGGCACCTCCGGCTGTGGGTGGCTCCAGGGCACAGTCAACAGCAGAGACAAGGGCACAGAAGCTGGCATTTGAAAGTTGAGCCAGTATGCACAGGAAGGTGACACCTGAAAGGACAGAGGCAGGGCACATACAGGGCACCCTCGCCCATGGGGACTGTGAGCTGAGATGCACAGTGGCTGTGCCAAGTGTCACGGGAGCTTGAAAGGATGATTTGGGGGCTTCTGCCCACTCTGCCAAAGCTCTGGATGCTCAGGACCCCGTCTCATGCAGATCCGAGTGGGGGTCCCCTCTACCAACTCTCTGGAGCAATGTTGCCGGATGATTGCCTCATCTTTACCTGGGAACGCCACCGCCTACTTCTGGTGTTCACAAATCGGTGATGAAAAGGCATGTGGATTGCTCCACAGGCCCAGCGCGAGCAGGTATTCACATCAGTACCAGCTGCTCGTGGGACCTGGGCGGGAGCAGGGCAGTGATTCCATGCTAGTCAGCACTCTGCTGGCATCTGGGCTGCACCGTCCCTAAGGCAGGGACAGCCGTCCTCAGGAGGAAGGAAGGAAATGGGGAACATCTGTTCACATCTGTCTCCTGGATTTTGTTGCCAATGTTTTTTGAACATTAAAAAATATATACTGATGTGCCTGCAGGAAGTCAGAAGGGCAGTGCAGAGTCCTCTGTTCTCTTCACTACCTCCCCACACAGTCACATTGGAAGTCGTTACAGAAAACCATCACAACCAGGACATGGACACGGGTATGTCAAGTGGGCATGCATCTAGTCCCGCGCGTATGTTCTGTCAGCCAGGCTCAGGACCCAGACAGTCCACCGCCAGAGCACTCCGCAGTGCTGCCTCTTCATCCTCAGCCACTGGAGGCCACACATGTCCTGGGTGCCGCTTACACCGGCCCTGCCTGTGTGCCAGTCACAGAAGGGAGACGGGCAGGTGGGCCAGGAGAGCTCACTTGCAAATGTTCACAGCAGTACCATGAAGTTTTAGTAAGACATTATAGAAAAAAATAGTGTCAATGTGAAATTGCTAAAGTAAAGATACAAGTAGAACAATTAGACCATGTAAATAAACAATACTTAACAAATAAGAACATGGAGATTGGATAAGATTTAAATCAATAATTAAGTAACATTAGGGAGGCAGATCAAGTTAAAAAAAAAAATGTTAAAAGGCCTTGAACAAAAATAGCCAAAGACCGATCATTCGATGGGGGACCTAAAAAGGAACAAACAGGTGACTGGTTCTTCCACCATGACAACACACCTGTCCACACTGTGCTGAGTGTTCAGTAACTTCTGACCAAAAGCAGCATGACCTCCGTGCCCTACCCTCCCTATTCACCATATCTCACCCTGAGCAACTTTTTGTTTCCCCAGTGAAAAAAGTCCTCAAAGGGAAACATTTTGCCAATGTAGAAGAGGTGAAACAAAAAACAGCAGAATCACTAAAAGGCATCAATATTGAGAAGTTCAAAGCTGTTTTGAGCAGTGAAAAAAGGATCTCGATAGGTATATTGCATCAAACGGAGAGAACTTTGAAGGCAACTGAATCTTAAAAACATAAGAATTTTAAAAATTTGTTGAAATTTTAAAGATGTGGGGTACAATTCAGGGTAAGATGTACAAATGTTTACTATGCAGGTACTCTTGTTGATGAGGTGTGCCCCTCTCTCCCTTGGCAGTTTCTCTCAACTGCCAATCCCACCTCCCCTTCCCTGGAAAATTCCTACTACTGCCAATCCCTTTCTTATAGTATTATGATCATTGTTTAAGGTCTGCTTATGAGTGAAAACATATGGTACTGTTCTTTGTTCTAGGAGACATCACTGAGTATGATCGACTCCAAATTCATCCAAGTTGCTGCGAAGTCCATATGTACGTCCTTCTTTTTGGCTGCATAATATTCCATTGTGTATATGTACCACATTTTAAAAAAATCTGGTCCAACTTCGATGGGCAGCATGTTCCATGTTCCATGTTTTTGCAATTGTGAATAGCTATAACAAATATGTGTGTGCAGGTATCTTTTTTGTAGAATGATTTGAGTTCCTCTGGGTATATTCCCAATAGGTCAATTTCTAGTTCTTTCAGAAATCGCCACACTGTCTTCCAAAGAGGTTACACTAGTTTGCAATCCCACCAGCAGTGTAGAAGCATTCCTTTTTCTCCACATCCTCATCAGCATCTGTTGTTTGTTTTATTAATGATGGCCATTCTTACTGGGGTGAGGTGGTATCTCAGTGTGGTTTTGATTTGCATTTCTCTGATGATGAGTGAGTCTGAGCACTTTTTCATGTGTCTGTTGGCTGCCCATATATCTTCTTCTATGTGTCTATTTATGTCTTTTACCCACTTTTTAAAGGGGCTGTTTGCTTTTTTCCTTTCAGTGCGTTTGAGTTCCTTGTAGATCCTAGATGTTAGGCCTTTGTCAGATATACAGTTGGCAAATATTTTTTCCCATTCTGTGGGCTGTCTCCCCACTCTCTTGATGGTTTCTTTTGCTTTGCAGAAGCTCATTAGTTTGATGAGGTTCCATTTGTCTATCTTATTTCTTAAGGTATTGGCCTTTAGGGTTCTGAATTGGTTGGAATTGGTTGCCAGTTCCAATTTCCATAAGGGTGTCTCCTGCATTTTTTAAGATTCTTATAGTTTGAAGTTTTAGATTTAGGTCTTTGATCCATTTAGAGTTAATTTTTGTGTATGGTGATAGGTAGGGGTCCTGTTTTTTTTTTTTTGAGTTGGAGTCTCACTCTGTCGCCCAGACTGGAGTGCAGTGGCTGCTCCCGGCCACCGCAGCCTCGACCTGCTGGGCTCCGGCGATCCTTCCGCCTCAGCCTTCTGAGTAGCCGGAATTACAGGCGCGCGCTACCACGCCCGGCTGATTTTTTGATTTATTGTAGAGATGAGGTCTCGCTGCCCAGGTGGGTCTCGAACCCGCGGGCTCAGGCAATCCACTCACCTCAGCTTCCCAAAGGCGCGGGATTACAGGCTGAGCCACCGAACCCGGCTAGGTGTCCTGTTTTAATCGTCTGCATTTGGTCAGCCAATTTTCCCAGCACCATTTACTGAATAGGTTCTCCTCTCCCCAGTGGTTGTTGTTGGAGGTTTTGTCAAAGATAAGTTGGTTGAGGAATTGAGGCTTTGCTTCTGAAATCTCTCTCCTGTTCCATTGGTCTATGTGCCTTTTCTTGTACCAGGCTGTTTTGATTACTGTAGCCGTATAGTAAAGTTTGAAGTCTGGAAGTGTGATACCTCCTGCTTTAAACACATAAGAATTAATACACAAATTTTTCACAAATAAATACTGGGTTTTGGGGGGTCCTCCCTTGTATATATGACCTATTACCAGTCAACTCCTCTCTTAGGCATGTACCCAATAGAAACATGTGTGCACATCCAAGCTGAAAACTACCCCAAAATGCATTACCTGTACCATGGATAAAAAGTTACATATTTACACAATGAAATTTTATACAGTAATAGAAGTAAACATCAATAGCATGGATACACTCAATGAAAGAAGCCAGGAATGTATGAAAAGCATACATTATATGAATCCACTTCTAGAAGTTCAACCCCTGGGCCACACTCAGCTGGGGTGTTGGCGTGTGGACAACAGTTGTTCCTGAAGGCGCTTCAGCCATGAAGTGGAGGTGAGAGCTGCCATCTCATAGGGTGGTCCCGATGACCAGAGGAGCAACACAAGCAGCAGGCTGGCAATGGACACCCCACCATCCCTTGGTGATGTTAGGATTGCAGAACTGAACACTTTCTGCCTTTTTTTTCTTGCACCTTTAAATATTTCCCTTAGTCCTCTCGTCTGCCCCAGGCCTTTCTGGCACACTGAAGAGCTTGCTTATAGCTTACACATTCAGTCCCCTCCTTTGGCCCTGCTCTCTCAAGTGACCAGCTGGTGGTACTGGCCTGGCAGAGGACAGAGTCATGCAGAAGTGGGACACTTAGTGCCCTCAGCCCTATCCATACCCTGCTCTGTCTAGCGCAAACTTTCTCCACTCTACTGCAGGTCACAGGAGGGGACAAAGTACAGGTCTCATGTCACCATCCAGGAGAACACAGGATGCTAAGGAACTCTGCGGAAAAGTACACAAACGGCTGCCCAGAGCTGCTATCCTTAGAAAGACAACTTGCAAGGTTGGCCTTGACTGGAGTCTGGGGACCTGGGGGTAAACTGTCCCCTACCTGATGGAAAACTCTTCCCACAGCTAAGAGGGTGTCAGTATGTCTACACTGTGTGTCAGCAGCGAGAGCACAAGAGATACCTGCTCTCCTCTGAGAGTCTGGAATGTTGGAGCATGTCATACAAAAACTTCCATGTGACCGGCCCCCAACAAAACCCAGGTGCTTGGGTCTTAAGGACATTTCACATGTGTAGTCACAGGTGAGATATGCATGCGTGTGGCACCTCCTTCTGCTGGGGGAACCAAGCTCACCCTGGGTAATGGCACTGGACTCTGAAAGCTCACGCCTGACCTTTTGGACTTGGCCCTGACAGCTTTTGCCTTTGGGATTTTGTCTTGTGCCCCTTGTAGCATAAGTCACAGCTGCAAGTATGACTCTATACTGAGCCCCATGAGTCTTCCTAGTGACCACTCAGCCTGTTTGGTCTTGGGGACCTCAGACACACTCACGAAGGCATGTGCGATTGCTGTGTTTGGGGAGCAGCAGGAGAGAAATGGACTCCTTGTACCCGGCCACAGGTCAAGGATATGCCTGAGCCCAGAAAAACCATAGGGAGATGGTGGGACAGACGGAAGGACGAGGTCTTCCTGGGGAGACAGTGGGAGAGATGGAAGAACGAGGTCTCCCCAGGGAGACAACAGACAGACAGAAGAATGAGGTCTCCCCAGGGAGACAATGGGACAGATGGAAGGATGAGATCTTCCCAGGGAGATGGCAGGACTGACAGAAGGATGAGTCTCCCCAGGGAAATGGTTGGACAGACAGAAGGATGAGGTCTCCCCAGAGTTATCAACACTCTGTGCAGAGTGTGAGTGTGTGTGCTTCAGATGTTGTGTGAGGGGGTAGGTACATGTGTGAGGGTATGAAGGTGGATATACATGCACGTGAGCATTAAGAGTACTTGTGAGGGTGTCACAAGTGTGAGTGGGGTGAGTGTGAATGTGCATGTGTGTGTCTGCCTGTGTGTGTGCCTGTGTGTGCGCATGTATGTCTGTAGTGAGACCTCAGTGAGGGAGACAAGTACCTCTGGAGTTTCAGAACAACTCAGTCAGCTGACTGAGGCCTCGTCTATAGGTGTGCGTACGTGTGTGTGTGTGTGTGTGTGTGTGCACGCGTGCATGTGTAGCAAGACCCCAACGAGGTAGACAAGATCTTTCAGAGCTTTATCATAGCCAGACACAGCATGGCCAGCGGGACCTCGCAAGGGTCTCCGTGGCGTCAGGGATCCAGGCAGGAGGTGTTCCAGAGCTTGTAGTAGTTCACCCAGGGCACCGTGTAGATCAATGACTTGCAGATCAGGCTCTGTGGAAGAGGGCAGGCAACCATCAGCCTCTGGGGAAGTGCTTCACAGGCCAGTCACAGGCATGTGCTCCTCGGACCTGTCCCGTGGCTGCTCAGGGACCCCAAGGATGTAGGGACCAGCTACCAAGGTCACAGGGTGGGATGGGCCAACTTGGAAAAGGACCACCACCCTGGGCTCCCCACCCAGCCCTGGGGACCCGCAGCAAGTGCACCTGGAGTCTGCAGCCCGGTCAGAGGCAGTGGCAGCAGCACTGTCTCCCATCCCTGCACTGCACCCACAGGGGAGACCCTAGTATCTGCCAGCATGTGGGGATGCCACTGAGGAGCCAGAAAACAGAAAGGGGTGAGGAGGAAAGGGGACAGCTCACAGAGACCTGGTGAGTGACAGTGAAGACCAGACAAGGACCCCAAGAAGAAAGAAACCCTGGTCCCCTGGGGTCCTGGGGAGCTGCCAGGCAGGAAGGGAGTCTGGTGCCCAGAGGCCTGATCTTGGCTGTGCCGGCCCAAGCCCAAAGCCTTCCTCCATCCCCACTGCCTCAGAGGAGTCAGCAGCCCTGGGCTGTGCCCTGGTGGCCCATCTGCACAACTGGAGGAGCTGCCATGGCCAACCAGAGCTTCTGACTTGTTTGCTTTTCTTCTTTGATTCTAAGCCCCTCTGGAGCACCCTGCCACCCACCTTCTTCAGAGTCTTCTTTTGCAGAGGGCAGAAGGGATTTTTTGTCTCGTTCCTCTTGCACTTGGTCCGGCCGATCTTCACGGTGACCATATATTCTACCCCTGTCGTCAGCTGCCGAGAAGCCATCGGAGGTTAGTGTGGCTCCAGCAACCCATGGCTGGCCCTTTCTGGGAAGTCAGACCCAGAACAAAGCCCTGACCACAGTCCTTGTTCCCAGAACTACCCCCACCAAAATCCCAGATCCCTACTCCCCTTCTGGCTGGACTCCCCCGCCAGGCCTGGACTGCCCTTGCTGTACCTGTTTCCCTTCCATCCTGAGGACAGGGACAGTGACATCAAGCTGGGTTGCCTGGCAACCACAGGCCATGCCCAGGTGGGTGCAGGGTTCTCATAGTGCAGAGAGAGGCCTCCAATTCCTACCCTCTGCCCGGTGGCCACCACGTCCCTCCCTACTCCCCTTTTCAACCAACCTTAAGGAAGGCGGTTTGGCAACACAACTCAGATCACAGGTTTGGGAATAAAAGTCATTGGGCATGCCTTCCCATTCCCCAAAGCTGTGACCCTGAGCAAGCTATTTAGCAGCCTCCGTTGGGCAAGGAAGGCCTGGGTCTATAAAGGCACTCCCACAGATAGCTGGAGAATTAATGCTCCCCGTTGGGCTCTGAGCTGGACCCCCGGTCAATGTGTGGATCAGAGCATCTCTGCACTGGAGAGGGGAGATGCCCCCTGCAGCCGTCCCCAGATGTCAAGCACAGTGAGATGGCTTGGCCCCTGCTGAGTGGTGACAGAAGAAAAGAATGCCCACCCTGTTCCTGGGAGGAAGACAGGCTTAGGAAACTTTGGGGTAAGGTAGTGGGGTTTAGGCCAGAGGGAAGTGCCAGGGTCCGAGTCCCGGAAGCCACCAAAAGCACCCCAGCATGCAGGCATCGTCCAAGTGTGGGTACACTGTGGGACTGCGCCAGGCCTGGCCATACTGACCTCACACTCCCAGTGTGTGAAAACACTAAAACACTGTTGTAAACTGAGGTGGCACTCCAGCATGCAAAGTGTTTTCCTCCTCCTTGTTAGACATGATTGTTAAATAATAGTAGGAGCCAGGCACAGTGGCTCATGCCTATAATCCCAGCACTTTGGGAGGCTGAGTTAAGAGAATCGCCTGAGCCTACAGGTTTGAGACCAGCCTGGGCAACTTGACAAGACCTCATCTCTACAATAAATCAAAAAATTAGACGGACATGGTGATGTGTGCTTGTAGTTTCAGCTACTTGGAAGGCTGAGGCGGAAGGATTGTCTGAGCCCAGTAAGTCGAGGCTGCGGTGGCCGTGAGTGTGCCATTGCACTCCAGCCTGGGCGACAGAGTGAGACTCCAACTACTATTATATGAATAGTAGTAGTAGTAGTAGTAGTTAGTAGTAGTAGTAAGAATAGGCATAATACTGGCAAAGGCATGCTTCCCTCTTGTTTTCTGACCCGCTCTGTGAGCCAGATCGACTTCACAAGACCCTCCTGGGAGTCTCGGATTATCCTTAGGAAGCAGACCCAAGACGCACCCAGGGAGCAATGTCGCCACCTTGTGGCAGAAGGGCCTGCCTGCACTGGGGACCGCTGGACAATCCCTGCCCAAGCCTTCCTGCCTGACTGGTTTTACTTTGTTCCAGACATCTTTCTCTCCGGTCAGAGGTCTTTGCCGTAGCAAATTATTTTCTCCCAAGTGTGACTAATTGAGCTAAGATGTAGGATCACCTCTGCTCTAACATATACAGTCGGCCTTCCATAAACGTAGGTTCAACCTCATGATTTCAAGCAACCACAGTCTGAAAATATTCAGAAAAAAAAAATGGATGGTTATGTCTGTACTAAACATGTATAGACTTTTTTGCTATTATCCTTTAACGATATAGTCTAACAACTATTGATGTAGCATTGACTTTGTACCAGGCGTTACAAGTTATCTAGAGATGATTTCAGTCATATAGGAAGACGTGCATATGTTATATGTAAATAACGGGCCATCTTATATTGGGGACTTGAGGATGCTCAGGTGTGCATACCCACAGGATCCCAGAACCACCCCTCTGGATACCAAGGGGTGACCGTATCATTTACCATCTGACATTGAGGCAAGGCTGGACCCATAAATGTGGTTCTTAGCTTTCCATTCCTCTATCATCCTCCAATTGTTATAGTTCAGATGATTTGCATGTGTTAAACAAAAAAGGAGGTGACTGCCTGAACCCTAGCTCTCATTTTTCCACCCCCACAAAAAAAAAAAAAACATAAACCCTCTATGTAATTCCAAGGTTCTGTAGAACACAGAACACCCAGACTGTGATTCACAACCCTGGATGTTGAAAACACGTGGGGAGAGGGGCCTACAGAGGATGTTGGTATTTTGTCAAATGAGACCCTTACAGAAAGCAAAACTTTCCTTGGGTGCTGCCACTCTGGTGAGGTTAATACCAGAATGAAAGGCAAGGCATCCCAGGGGAGAGCAGCTGAGAGCCTCAGGGACAAGGGGCCTAATATGAGAATGAAAGGCAGGTCTTTCCAGGGAAGACAACGGGAGACCTCAGGGGACACTTTCCTCTGAGTAAAAGTGGTGGAGCAAGGGTTCACTCCAGGTACCTGGACGTGTCACTAAGGCAATCTGCAGTCAGGCACTGTTGGCTGGTTCTCTTGGGAGCCCCGTTAGAAATCCTGTGTATTAGAATGGGCGGGAATGGGGGCCCTGCTGACATCTGGAGAAACCAAGGCACAAACCTGCATCTGACTTTGAATTAGCTTCTGGACTCGAAATAAGTAGGTGTCATTGCTGGCGTTATTGTAGGACTGGATGAAGAAGGTGAGCGTGGCGTTCTTGTTCTTCCTGCTCATGGGCATCTCCCGGAAGCCATCCCACTGCTGGACGTGGCCCAGGACCAGGGCCAGGGCGGTCAGCAGCAGCAGCGGGTCCCTCCAGCCTCTAACCCCCATCTCAGCAGCCCTGGAAATTCCAGCCCTGTGGCACCTTCCAGGGTGGAGTGGCACCAGGCTACCTGCTCACTTTTCCACGCAACCCCCACCCCCATGGGCTTTCTTGCGAGGTGGCCTGCCTGCACTTAAACAGAGATTGGGACCCAAGCCTTGTCCCTCCTGAGGCCCTGACTGAGGACCAGCCAGGACTCTGCCTGCAGGGCCACCCAGCCCACCTCCAGCCAGCTGTTTCCCACCCATTTGCCATACCCATATTTGGTGGCCCAGGCCAGCGAAACTTCTAAATACACACCAAGGTGTGCAAGCCCCCTCCCTGCCTTTGCACCTAGCAGGGAAGAGCAGAACAGCCCCGTGTTCTGCAATAAGACCTGGCATCGTGGACAGAGGGGCACCATTTGTGGGCAGGGGAAGTTATGGAGAAGGTAATATCTGAACTGAGCCTAAGGGGTCTGTGACATAGGGCGAGAGTGGCTCATTCTACTCACCTCCTTTGAGTTCCTACAGTCTCACCAAGCCACCAACTGTCCCCTGGGTCCTCTAGAGACACCAACTCCTTGTCCCCTGACTCCCACTCACCACAGGCTTCTGCCTGCTGGGCCCCGCTGTACCTGCAAGCCCTGTGCTAGCTTGTGCTGTTTTGTTGTGACCCCAGAGGAGCTTTGTGAGGTCATCTCAGCCTCCCTGGGAGGGAGGAACAGACTGTGAGCCTTATTTAAAAATTAACCCAGCAGATCCTGAAGGTGAGGTGTCCCCTGTCCCCCAGAAGCCCATAACAGTGTCCTACCTTTAAAACATTTGTTAAGGTGAGTTCCTGAATGGAATCCTACTGGAAAAAGCATATTAGTGGGATAATTGATGAAATGTGAATTAAAATCTGTAGATTAATCATATTGTACAAACGTTAACTTCCTAGTTTTCACCATTGTACTGTGATTTTTAAAAAATTTTGTTGTTGTTGTTTTTCATTTTTTAGAGATGAGGTCTCACTGTGTTGCCCAGGCTAGTCTCGAGCTCCTGGGCTCAAGTGATCTTCCCACTTTGGCCTCTCAAAGTGCTGGGATTAGAGGCATGAGCCACCGTGCCTGGCATGTACTGTGATCACATAAGATGTTAACATTCGGGGAAGTGGGATGAAGGGATGTGAGAAAGCTTTATGTTGTTTTTGTCATCTTTTTGTATTTCTGAAATTCTTTAGAAATAAAGGGTAAAATGTTCAACGCTAAGCAAATACAACATGGGTCTATGAGAAGTAGTGGGCTATGACGGGGGAAAGTACAAGCCTCAGGATGTAGATGTCCAGAGTTCCAGTCCTTGGCCAGGACTCTGGGAGTGTTACTTAATCTCCCTAAACCTCAGTTTCCCCAGCTATAATATGAGAATGGAGAATATTCACCTTGGATTGTGGTAGAGACCAAGCTGGTATAGACACAGAACCTGCTGGGCAGCCGTGGGAGCTCAGGAACATTGCATGGCTCCTCTGTGACTCCAAAACCACGTGCTTAAGCCAATAGCCTGTCAGGCCCCTCTTGCCACAGAAGCCAGGCTGCCTGCCCAGCACCATCCTGCTGGGACCCATCACAACCTCTCCCTTGACCTCAGAGGCTACCTGGCTAGGGCGCATCCAGCCTGTGGGAGTGGCGACTTTGGAAGCCCCTGGGCCAGAGCTGCCAGGGGTTCCTGCGGAATAGGTAAATCAGGACTCTGCGTAGTCAGGAGCCTGCTCAGACCTGGGCAGCTTCAGCCTTCCCTGGAATTTGCAATACACCCAGCAGACTGAGGATCTCAGAGAGGGAAAATAGCATTTGGTGGGTCATGGTAGAAAACCAGTGAACATAGGGTTAAAAAGCAGGAAAAGCAAATCTGCTGAAGGAAACTGAAGTGGGCTACCTTTATAAGGAGGACAATGAATGACTGCAACACCATGGAGGAATGGAGACTCATAGCCCTGGTAGGCTGTGGAAGGGGAGAGGAGGGAGGCTGTCGGGTTACGCTGGCATGATTTGGCTATGGCAGCGGGACTCCAACTTCTGCCTTAGGGGAGGCACCAACAAAGACAGAAATTGACTTTAGTGTCACCAGCCAAAGAACACAGGGAATGACCCAACAGCCGCTTGTCATCTCCTTCCATAGATATGGAAAGACGAGAAAGTAAAAATCTCGTAAGGCCCATGGTAAAAGGGAGAAAGAGGGAACTAGGTTAAAACATGGAACAAGGAGACATCACTGGCAGAGTTATATCAATAGATTAAAGGGGAAATACACAGCATTTTAAAGTGCATAAGATAAGAGAAGAATAAGGGACACTGTCATGTCCATGAATGAGCGCAAAAGAGAAACCCTATTGTGTTCATGGAATTCAGGTCAAATAGGGACTCTGGTCATGCCCATGAAATACAAGGAACAGAAGAATCCTTGGAAATGTCTGTGGAACATGAGGAGGAATAAATACATGGAGTCTGAGGAGCATAAAGGGCCTAGGACAATTTCATGGAATATCAAACACAGAGGGGTCCTTGGACATGTCCACGGAGTATTAGACACATAGAGATCCTTGGACATGTCCATGGAGTATTAGACACCTAGGGGTCCTTGGACATGTCCCTGGAGTATTAGACACCTAGGGGTCCTTGGACATGTCCGTGGAGTATTAGACACATAGGGGTCCTTGGACATAACCACAGAATATTAGACACATAGGGATCCTTGGACATGTCCACGGACTATGATAAACATGAGGCCCTCGGACATGTCCTTGGCATATGAGGAACATAAGAGGCCTTGGACAAATTAACAGAATAGGAGAACATGGGAGTTTTGGACATGTCATGAAGTATTTTTGGATATGTCCATGAAGTATGAGGAATAGTCATTGGACATTTTTATTAAGTATAGACACATGGAATCCTTGGACACATCCATGAAATCTGAGGAGCATAGGGGTTTTTAACCTGTCATGGAGTAAGAGGGACATAAGGTTTTTAGACTTGTCCATGGAATCTGAGAAACATTTGGACATGCCAATGGACTCCTATGTCCCTTATATTACATGAGCATATTCCTTGAGGACCACTATCTTCTTCACATGTATAAGGGAGAAAGAGGGAACTATCTTCTTCACATTCCATGGACACATCTAAGGATTCCTGTACCCCTCCATGACATGTCTAAAAACCCCTACATTTCTTATACTCCATTAACTTGTTCTCATATGAGAAACATAAGAGGCCTTGGGCACTTCCATCGAATAGGAGGGGTACAGGAATCCTTAGATGTGTCCACGGAATGTGAAGAAGATATGAGAAACATAAGAGGCCTTGGGCACTTCCATCGAGTAGGAGGGGTATAGGAATCCTTAGACATGTCCACGGAATGTGAAGAAGATAGTGGTCCCCAAGGAATATGTTCATGTAATATAAGGTACATAGGAGTCCTAGGCCATTTCCAAGGAGCATGAGAAACATAGAGGTCCTTGGACATGACCACAGAATATGAGGAATACTGGAACTCTTGGATATGTTTATGCAATATGAGGAGCATAAGGGTCTTTGGACATGTTAATGCAATAAGAAGGCCATAGGGGTCCTTGGATATGCCCATGGAGTCTGAGAAACATTGAGGACCTTAGCCATTAAGTGGAATATGGAGAGCCTAAGGAGTCCTTGGACATGTCCACAAAATATGAAGAACTTAAGGGATCCTTGGAAATGTCCATGGAATATGAGGAAAATGAGGTGTCTTGGACACATCCAAGAAGTATTAGGAACATAATGGGCATTGAACAAGTTAATGGAGTATAAGAAATGTAGGGGTTTTTAGACATGTCATGGAGTGTGGGAAATATAGGGGTGTTGGACATGTCCATCCAGTATGAAGAATATAGGGGTCCTTAAACATGTCCATGGAATATGAGGAACATCAGATTTTGTTAACCTCTCCATGAAATTTGAGGAGCACAGGTGTACTTGGATATGTCAGTGAAACATGAGGAATACAAGGAGTCTTGGATATGTCCATGGAATCTGAGCATCATAAAGGGCCTTAAACATGTCCAGGGAATAAGAGGAGCATAAGGGTTCATGGACATGTCCACAAAATATGAGGAACATAGGGGTCCTTGGATATGTCCAAGAAGTATGAGGAACTAAGGAGCATTGAACATGCTAACGGAATATGGGAAACATAGGACATGTCGATCAGCATGAAAACCATATGGTTTTTGGATATGTCCATTCAGTGTGAGTAACATAGGGGTCTTGGGACATGTCTATGGAGTTGAAGTAACATGGAAGTTCTTGCATGTGCTCACAGAATATGTGGAATGTAGGGACTTAGACATGGAATATGAGAAAATTAGGAATCCTAGGGTATGTCCAAGGAGCATCAGGCACATAGAAGTCCTTAAATATGTTCAGGGAGTATGAGGAACTTGGGGGTCATCACATATGTCCATAGAATATGAGAAAAATGGGGTCTTCAATGGAACAGGATTGAGATTCCAGAAGCAAAGCCTCAATTTCTCAACCAACTCATCTTTGACAAAGCTTCCACCAACAACCACTGGGGAGAAGGGAACCTATTCAGAAAGTGGTGCTGGGAAAACTGGCTGATCACATGCAGAAGATTGAAACAGGACCCCTACCTATCACCATACACAAAAATTAACTCCAAATGGATCAAAGACCTAAACGTAAAACCTCAAACATGAAGACATTCAAGCAGACAACAAACACATGAAGAAATGCTCAACCTCACTAATCATCAGGGAGATGCAAATCAAAACCACACTGAGATAC